TTTTTTTTTTTTGCCGCTGAGCCTGTGGCCGGTGGTGATGGATTCACTTTTTCCCTTAACAAGCTCTCTGGGCTTCCCCCAGCCCCGAGAGGATACAGCCAGACAGGGGATGATTCTCCGTGGGGTCCACGCTGGGGCATGTGGGTGGACTAGGTTTCATAAGGGAGAAGCAGAGCTTTGAAGGAAGGGACATTAGCTTTGGGGGTTTGAAGGATGGATAGGAGTGTGTGTGCGTGTGCATTCCAGCCGGTTGAGACAGCTGTGCAAATGTGACCTACCACAGTTTTAAAGCTCGCGAGGCAGGTTTTGCACGTTAATCTTTATTTTTTAATGTTTCTTTTTGAGAGTGAGCGAGACAGAGCACAAGTTGGGGGCGGGGGGGGGGGGGCAAAGAGAGAGGGGGACACAGAATCCGAAGCAGGCTCCAGGCTCCGAGCCGTCAGCACAGAGCCCGACGCGGGACTCGAACCCACGAACCGTGAGATCATGAGCTGAGCTGAGCCGAAGTCGGACACTCAACCCACTGAGCCACCCGGGTGCCCCTTGCATGTGAACTCACGCTGACTTTGAGAGGCAGATATTTTTGTTATCTCCGCTTTCTGGAAACTGAGGCCCCAAGTCCCTTGCCCGAGGTCCCCCAGCCAGGCAGCCTCGTCCAGACAATGGTTAACCTGGCCTGGCCGGCTCCAGGGCGGGTTCTGGCCAGGGCGGCGCATTCTTCTGACCAGAGCGTACGGTTGGTTTGTGCCTGGGCCCTGCGGGGGCCTCCGGGGCCCCAGCGCCCCCAGGAATCGGATCGGGATGCCCGGCCCACGCACCGGTTCCAGAGAAATAGCAAGGAAAGGTGGTTTTGGTTTCATTTCCCTGTCCCCGGGACTGCGGACGTGGGCCCCCTCGTCGGGGCGTGAGGTCCAGAGCCTCGGGGGAGGAGGGAAGGCCAGCTGCTGGGGCCAGCGGGGAGGTGGGGGAGAGGGCCCTGAGCTGGAGGCAAGGAGCAGCTCGGGGGCGGGCAGCAGGCTGGGTTCTCGGCTGGAAAATGGTGATGGCGCTAACACCCACCTCTTCAGGCTGCAAATTGGTGGCATTATTAATATTATCACTTAGTCACTCAAAAGGTCTGTCCCGGGCTCCGTGCTGGCGGGCCAGGCCCACACAAGTGACCCAGAGAGACCTGTCGTCTGCCCTCCCAGAGCCTGGTCCGGCGGGGGAGGCAGGCAGGAAACAAGCAGAGACAGAGACATCCGTGTGTGTGCTCAGGCACATGAGAGGGAAGCCGTGTCCAGACGGGCTGCGTCGAGGCGGGGACGGGACGGCCGGTGACTGGGTCGGCCAGGGAGAGCTTTTCTGAGGAGGTGGCGTTTGAGTTGAGTACTGAGGGACGAAAAGGACTCGGCCTTGCCGGGACGGTGTGAGGGAATAGCATTCCACGCAGCAGCGCGACCTGTGCAAAGGCCCTGGGGTAGCACGGAGCCTGGCGTGCGGGGGCAGGGAGGAGGCCCGTTGCGGCTGGGGCAGAGGGGGCAGGGCCGGTCCCGCAGGGCCTGTTGGCTGCCCTTGAGGACCTGGGCTTGTTCTGAGGTATCGGGCTTTTTTCCAGGAAGAGGCCAGGCCTCCTCCTGAGCTGATGGGGACACTGGGGCTCAGGGAGGGCAGGGTCCAGTGTAGCCTCACCCGGCGTCCCCTGGCCTTCTGACGGCTGGTAGCCCCGTGGGCCGCTTGGTAGGAGCTGGGGGAGGAAAAGGCCCTACCGGGCGAGGCAGGAGGGGGAAGTTGGGGGCATAAATGGCGTGTCCGGTGGGCAGTGGCCCCCTTTCGACCTGCCGACCCGCGGCTCCTCCCATTCCCTCTGCACCCCTCCCCCCCCATCCCCTGCCCTGTCACCCTGGGGAGCCCGAGGCTGGCGTGGGGAGGCCTCGTCCTTGTCCTTTCCTAACACTTGGCCGGAGGTCCTGGCCCTGCCCTTGTACTCGCTGTAGCACGTGACCTCACGTGCCTCAGTTTCCCCATTAGACACCGGGGGCGCATCACCTGAACTGGCAGGTGGAGGCCTGGCTCCGCTGTCCTCTTGGGCCACATGACCTTGGGTCCCTCTGCCTCGGCTTCCCCGTTTGTCCCGGGAACCCTTAACCTGCTGACTCCGACCCCACTGTATGACTTTGCAGGGCCTTTTCCGGGCCTGGCTCGTCTCCGCCTGGTCGCGCCCTGGGGAGCCGGGGGCTCGTGGGAAGGCCCTGCGGGGTGACCGCCCCGCTCTCCGTTCGTCCACAGGCACCGTCTGTGTCCTGCTGTCCTTCCCCTTCATCTTCAGCCCGTGCCTGGGCTGCGGGGCGGGTACCCCGGAGTGGGCCGCCCTCCTGTACTACGGGCCCTTCATCGTGATCTTCCAGTTCGGCTGGGCCGCTGCGCAGATCGCCCACCTCAGTCTCATCCCGGAGCTCGTCACCAACGACCACGAGAAGGTGGAGCTCACGGCCCTCAGGTACGTGGGGCACCGGGGAGGCCCGGAGACCGGGGCGCCCTCCGTGTTTGGGCTCCACTTGGCGGTGTGGCTCCGGGACCGTCAGCCCTGGGTGACCCTTCTGTACGATGGCGTATCCCTCCGCCGTTGCGGCCACAGAATTAGCAGCTTACAACGGCACCAGATAGCCTCTCCTGGTTGCTGTGGGTGTGGAGCCTGACTCTGCTCGGCTGTACTTTCTGCTCCGCGGTCTGTCTGGAGGCCCCCGTCGAGGTGGTGGCTAGGCCTGGGGTCTCACCTGAGGCTTGGGTTTTCCTAAGGATCTCCTGATTAGGCTTGGCTCACCCAGGATAATCTCCATTAATTATACCCGCAGGATCCCTTTACCTTTGTCACTTTCACCTAAACAGCGGGAGTGATCTCGCTTATCCACGGTCCCCTTCTCCAGGGGAGGGATTAGGACGCGACCAGGGTGTGGGAAGATCGAGGCCCATCTCAGACTCCAGCTTGCCCACACGGATACAGCTGGCGCCGGGCTGGTCTGTTGGCTGGTTTGAGGCACTGAAGGAGGTTCTCCTGGATATGGTAATGGGAGCATTTATGCAGTGCTTGCTGTGTGCAGCACAGTTCTAGGCCCTTTGTGTGGATTATCTTTAATCATCATGGCAAGGCCAGGCTTGGTGCAGAGCCCGCCCCTACGGGCCACTGTGCAGCGGGACAAGGGTACGGGAGATGATCGAGTGCCAGGCGGAAGGGCTAGCACAGGTGGTGGCGGCCCCTGTGGCGGGAGCTGAGGGGAGGACTGGCTCACGGGAGGCGCCCTGAGCGTGCACCCCTCTGGCATCTTCAGTGGGGCCTTGCCTTCTCCACCTCGGTCCGCTTGGCCCCAGCGCTGCCCAGCCCGGCCTCTGACTTCCACATCATGGCACGGAGCCGTGGGCGCCAATGACGGGGGTTGCCCCGGGCCCGAGGGCCCCAGCTGGCGGGCCAGGCAGGGCTGAGACCGAGCTCGGGGGGCCACCTTCCACCTGCCGATGCTTTACCACCAGCCTTGTGGCCGATTCACTCTGATCTCTGGGGGTGTTGTGCTTACTTTCAGAAAGGGAAACTGAGTCCTGGTGTGCGATCCAGAGGCTCTGCCCCCAAGCCCTGGAGGGACACTGTTCTAGGGCTGCGAGCAGGAGCAGGCCTGGATGCTTCTAGACCATGGAGCCCTGGCCCTGTCAAAAGCCCAGGAGCTGGGAACCTAGAATCCCCACATCCTGGCTTCTGAGCATCTCCAGCGCACAGGCGTGTGGGCCATGCCCTGCTTCCCCGAGTCTCGGTGCCCGGACAGCTCGGGTCGTCGTGGTGGACTCGTGGGTCATTGTAAATCCTCGGATAACGCGTAGCCAGGGCTTTCCTGGGGCCACCCGACGTTTAGTGGCTGAGATCGCCCAGCAGCCAGAGATTCCCCGGATGCCAGCGTTGGCTCTGGCAGCGCGGGCCCCCCCGGGGACGCGGCAGCCGTGCGCCCTCCCGGGCCGCCGCGCCGAAGCCTCGCCTGCCTCCCGCCAGGTACGCCTTCACCGTGGTGGCCAACATCACCGTGTACGGTGCCGCCTGGCTGCTGCTCCGCCTGCAGGGCTCCCCGCACACGGACGTGGCCCGGGATGTCCGCGACCAGCTGGGCGTCCAAGACGTGCGGGTGTTCCAGGTGAGCTGGGCCCCGGGCGGGACACCCCGGGGCCCCGGCCCCCGGGGCTTGGGCTCCGGCCGACCCCTGTCCTGCCTGGCCTCCAGAACCTGTCCCTGCTGGTGGTCGGAGTGGGTGCCATCTTCTCGCTGCTGTTCCACGTGGGCACGAGGGAAGGGCGCCGGCCGCGGGCGGAGGAGCCGGACGAGCACAGCCCGCTGCTGGCCCCGCCCACCGCCCAGCCCCTGCTGCTCTGGAAACACTGGCTGCGGGAGCCCGCCTTCTATCAGGTGTGCTGAGGGGGTGGGGGCGCTGGGGACACAGTGTGGCTGGACCTGAGGCCCCTACTCTTGCGGGGGGGTGGGGTGTCACTTCATCATCCTGTACCCCTCCGGGCAGACGTTCTTTGTCCCTAGCGGCCCTCCTCCCTGCAGGCGGCTCCCGTAGGCCCCGTGTCCCCTGCCGATGGGGGCAGGGCGCGCCGTCGGAGCCCAGCCTTCTCTGCCCGCAGGTGGGCCTGCTGTACATGAGCACGAGGCTCATCGTGAACCTGTCCCAGACGTACATAGCCATGTACCTCACCTACTCGCTCAACCTGCCCAAGGTGAGCTGGGCGGCGCGGGCTGGCGCGGAGCGGGGAGGATGGGCCCTCCTGTGACAGGCGCGCATGCGCTCTGCCCCGACAGAAGTTCATCGCCACCATCCCGCTGGTGATGTATGTCAGCGGATTTTGCTCGTCCTTCCTCATGAAGCCGGTCAACAAGTGCATCGGGAGGAACGTAAGTGGGCAGGCGGGGCTGGGCGGGAAGGATCCCACAGCGGAGAGCTGGGGGGGGGGGGGGGGGGCGGGGGCTCCGGACCGCGGCACCCACACTGTGGGAGCCCCGTGTCTGGGAGGTCTAGAGTCCCGGCCTCGGAGGGGCTCAGGGCTCCAGGGTTCTAGAACTTGGGGCTGCCAGGGGCAGCAGCCAGCGGTGGCATGGAGCCCTTGAACTCTGGCCAGCGTGACTAAGGAACTGAACATTTCACTCCGTTTAACTTTAATGGACTCGGGCGCGGCCATGGCCCTGCGGTGCGGGCTCTGTGGCGCCGCAGACCCCAGGCCCCCGAGTCTTGTGGGGCCCGAGCCAGGGGCCCCGTAGGGATGGCTCCCCTCGCCCCTGCGGGCTGCGGTCGGGCCCGGAGGTACGGCAGACGTAAGGGCAGAGGGGGTAGGTGCCGCCCGGCAAGGGCGAGGCGGGCCTGACCTGGGCCCGCTCCTCCACAGCTGACCTACTTCGCGGGCCTCCTGGTGATCCTGGCCTTCGCCGCCTGGGTGGCGCTGGCAGACAGGCTCGGCGTGGCCGTGTACGTAGCCGCCGTGCTGCTGGGCACGGGCTGTGCCACGATCCTCGTCACCTCGCTGGCCATGACGGCCGACCTCATCGGCCCCCACACGGTAAGGCTGATGGTGTGGACCGGGTGGGGGGTTGGGGGACCGGGGCCGGGCTGTGACCTGCCTGCCCGTGTCCCCCAGCACAGCGGAGCCTTTGTGTATGGTGCCATGAGCTTCTCGGATAAGGTGGCCAACGGGCTGGCGGTCATGGCCATCCAGAGCCTGCATCCCTGCTCGTGAGTGCTGCTCACTTCCTCGCTTAGGAAGACGTGCCGAGTGCGTGCCGGGTGCCAGGCACTGCCCGGGGTCTGGGGACTTGGCCTGGGCCCGAGGCGGCACGCTGGCGGGTTCTCACAGGGGGGACGCCCGGCTGTTCCTTACCTCCGGGCACTTGGCTTACTTAGGAAGCAAACGCGGGGTCTGCCGTGCGCCGAGGACACAGCATGCGGCTGTACCAGGGCCGTGGGCAGGGCTGGGGCAAAGCCAGAGTCTTGTTTAGGCCCTGGGAACCTGTAAGGTTCCAGACCCCGGTGGTTCTAGAGCACTGAGGCTGAGCCTTGTGGAAGTCTGGGGCTCTGGGACCGAGGGCGGTCTGTTCCCGTCCTCACGGACCTGGGGGCAACGCCAGCCACTTTAATAAGCACGTAGCCGCGCGATCCAGACCAATGCAAGGTGTGTAGGAAACCCCACTTGTGGGAGCCTGACTGGGGCGAGAGGTCAGGGTGGGCTTCCTTGAGGAGAGGACACCGGACCCGAGCCTCGGTGGCTGTCGGGGAGCCCCAGGTAAACGGGGAGGAACAGCAAAGAGGAGGCCTGTGTGGCCGGAGCAGAGGAAATGAGGGGGGCGGGGAGGGGGGCGGGGAGGGGGGCGGGGAGGGGGCAGTGCACGTGTCCCCCCCCTCGGCCCCCCCCCCCGCCGCGGGCCCCTCTGGTGGCTGCTGTTGGCACAACCGGGAGCAGGGGACTGTGGCAGCCCAGCCGGGTGAGGGGGCGCTGGGGTGCGGAGGGTGGCTCTCCGGTTCCGGCTACCCGACGGCTGAGCGGGAGGCCCAGGCTGCCGGGTCCTGAGGGACGTCAGCTCACCTGCTTCTGCCCCACCCCTAGCTTGGAGCTCTGCTGCCGGGCCTGCGTAGGCTTCTACCACTGGGTGATGGTGGCTGTGACTGGTGGCGTGGGCGCGGCCGCCACCCTCTGTCTGTGCAGTCTCCTGATCTGGCCCATCCGCCTGCGGAGCTGTGAGTCGGGGCCGCGCCCCACCCTTGACCATGGGCGGCAGGGCCGGGCCCCCGGCAGGCTCCGGCCTGACTACCCTCATCCCTTTCTCTTGCAGGGGACCCCGGAGCCTAACCCTGACACCGTCCCCCCACGGTCGCGGTCCTGTGCACGTGAACTCTACGGGCCATGCCCAGCTCCCATCCCTGCCCCCCATCCTCACCCGGCTGTGAGGGCGGCAGGTGAGGGCAGGCGGTCGGCAGCCCAGACTCTGAGCTTGGCCCTCTGGGATCCAGGGGAGCGCCCGGCTCACCCGTCACCCCAGGCTCGGTCGGGGTTTCCTAGGTGCTGCCGGGTCCCTGGACGAACGGTGTCGTCATTGGGCCTGATGGGAGCCTCAGGCTTGGGGGTTGGGGGGGGACCCGGTCCCACAACCCTGTGCCCAAGGCCACGACTGGCTATGAATAAAAAGCCACCCAGGGGCGAGGACTGTGGCCTCAGCTGTCTGCCCGGGGCCCAGAGCGGGGAGGGGGCAGCCGGCGCCTCCAGGGTCCATCTGCCTTCATCCCAGAGTTCTGGTCGCCAGGGTCTCGGTTAGTAGCTCCCTTTACCTGGCCGCCTGGCCCCCCAAGACCCTCCCAGGCCCCAGAAGCGGAGGGATGCACAGGGTCGGGGGGGTGGGGTGGTGTCAGAGGCACAGGGGTCCCTGCAGGGGCGGTGCTGGCAGCGTGACCTTTATCAGCAGACAGGCAGGCGGGAGGGCGGGGGCCGCTGGTTGGCGGAGGGACGGTAAGGCTCCAGGCTCCACCGCCGGTAGCTCTGGGTGGCGTAGCACGGCCGCCGCGGCACAGACAGGTACGGCACGTGGTTCGACCGCCACGGTGGCTCCACCCGGTATTGGTGCCTGTCGACCACTGTAGGGACCAGGACACCCAGGTCACCTCCTGTCCCCCGCTTTCTGGCCCTGGGCAGTCTCCACTTCGGTCCAGGGGCCTCGCTCCCCCAGATTTCTGGGCCCCCGGTCCTCACCATACTCCTTGCCCCGGATGAGTCTGTCCCTCCACAGCGTGCTCCCCCACCGTGTGCCGGGGCTCCTGTACTGGGCAGGGAGGACAGGGTCGTACCAGGCGGTCTCCCGGAGGTGCTGGGTACAGGCTGGGGGGGGGGGGGGGAAGAGAGAGGAGGTCATCTCTGTCCTTGCCTTCCCCTGGGGGGCCGGCCCGGTGGCGGGGCAAGACCGGGCTGAGCACTCACCCGAGGGCATTTTTCGCTCCCGGCAGCTGTGACATCTGTGCCAGTGGCCGTGGGCCTCCCGGTAGGGGCTGTCCGGGGCCCGCGGGATCGTGTACCAGGCCTCACGGGGGTCTGAGGTGGTTAGGCCGGTGGACCACAGCTGGCCAGCTGCGTCGCGCCCCAGGGGCGTGTACTTCCAGCGTGTGGCCTGCTTGATGGCCGGAGTCCAGCGGGGCCCCTCCAGGGACAGGCAGTCATCGCTGAGGGGGTTAAGGGCAGGGAGGAGGCGGCTGAGCCTGTGGCCCTCCCTGCCCTCCCCCCCGGGCCTCAGCTGGCTCTGGAATGGGCCTTTTTACCCCCTGCCATGTGTTGCCAGCCTCGAGGGCGCAAGGGCCTGGACACCCCCCCACCCAGGCCTGGCAGAGCAGGCGGCCGACCCTTCGTGGCCCCCTCCTCTCTAGCCTCCGTGCACCCTCCCCGAACTTTTTACTTTTTCGGCTTTCCCTTCTCCCTGGGGACGCAGGGGGCGGGGGCGAGGGGAGCACCTGTTCCCGGCGGCCTCTGGGGCCAGAGCCTGTCCTGGGCTGGGCATTAGGACGGCTTCCCTGAGGAGGCTGCAGCACCAAGCTCCAGGTGGATATACAAAGGCCCTGGGGGAGCACGGACGGTGTAGGAAACGGAGGCCATGGTGCAGAGAAGACAGCCTCAGCGTGGTACCATTAAAAGCAGAAAAAAACCCTCCAAAGCTGCCGAAGCCGCACACACTTGCTTGAGCAGAAACCTCGACAGCCGCTCCTTCCCGCACACGACGGGCAGGGGCTCTGAGCCGCTGAGCTGCCCCGAGGCAGTGCCCGCAGGGCTGCTGGCAACAGGCTTTTTCACCAGCGCCTGCAGGCACAGATCTGGTCCCAGAAAACCGGAAGCCCACATGGCTCCTGAAGGGGAGCAGGGATTAGCCTGGTAGGTTCTGGCACATCTGTCTCGGGAAATGGACAGACAGGTCTGCCGCTCGCTCAAGGGGAAGTTCGAGACCATCTTGCGTACCCCACACTGCAAGATGCACGTGACTTGTAGAATACCATGAAAACGGTCCCAGTCCTCAACGCGGGCTCCCAATTCCGTACCCACCTGGAATCTCAGAACGGAACCCTATTAGGAGGCGGGGTTTCAGCAGACACAGCTGTAAAGCTGGGAAGCGGGAGGCTAGGCTGGCCCTGGTGCCGCGCCTGGTGTCCTTGGAAGGAGGAGTTTGGACACGGAGGAGGCCACGTGAAGACGGGGCAGAGGTCAGGGTGACGCGTCCTCGAGGGGTGCCAACAACTTCCACGAAGACACGAGAAGCCGGGGGGCGTGACGGAGAGTCTCCCCCGGGCCCTGAAGGGACCAGCCCTGCTGACCCCTTGGGGTCGGACATCTGGCTTCCAGAACCGGGGGAGGGCAAATCTGAGCCCCCGGCCCGGGCTCTCGGAGCAGCGGCAGCAAACTGGGGTCTGCTTGCTATGTGTGTGCGGTGCCCACGCGAGCCTCTGACCTGCGGTTTCCACAGGCGCCCCGCTCTGGCCGTGGGCAGGGAGGGAGGAGAGGCAGGGGGGAGGAGGGGGCCAGGAGGCGGGAGGAGGGAGCAACGCCAGGGTGCCTTCGCTCAAAACTCAGACGACATTCAAGAGAAGCCACACCAGATCCCGTCTGGCCCGAAACCCAGAGGTGGGGTCTGTGGGCAAGGCGCACACTCACCTGTACAGAGGTGCTGGGAATACCACTTCCAGGGTCCCCTGGGGGACGTAGGGCCGGGCAGCCTCGGGCCGCTGCCACGCCAGGGTCTGCATGTCTGCCTCTGGGTCCCCAGGGGCTCATGCCTGGAAGGCCTGTGGGGCCATTGTTGACAGCGACAAAGGCCCTCGGCGTCCCGGCAACGGTACTGGCCAGCGCTGGCCTCCATCCAGACAGCTGCCACCCGCCCCCCCCCAGGATGCCTCCCCCCGGGGGGGGGGGGGACCCGGCGAAAGGCAGGCATGTGCCTCGGGTGGTGGCCGTAAAACGGGGGCTCCCACCTCCTCTCTGGGCCCCCTGAGCTAACACCCTCACGTGGGGCTCTCCGGGCTGTGCCCTCAGCCGCACCTCTCCAGAAGCTCCGTCCGGGCCCCCCCATTCCCAGCCCTCCCTCCTCACCCCCCACCCCGTGCCTCTTCTGCTTCTGACCCACCACTTGGAGCGAGACCCTCACACGTGCGTGCACAGCTCAGTTCACAGTCCTCAATGGCACGACAGACACAGACCGTGTCCCCCGCGCACACGTATGTCCCTCGGCCACGAGCAGGAGCGAGGCGCCCACACCCGCCGCCCGGCCTTAAGGACCCTGAACACACGACGCTCAGGGAGGGAACCAGACACAGAGGCCACACGGGGTGTGATTCCATTTATGTGAAACGTCCAGAACAGGCTCATCCACAGACAGGAAGGGGGTTTGTGGGGGCCGGGGAGGGGGCAGGGAGTGACAGCTGATGGGGACGGGTCGTCTTCTGGGGTGGTGGAATGTTCTGGAACTAGACACGGTAGCAGCACCACCTCGTGAATGTACTAAACATCACCGACATATGCTCCAAGATACACCACATAACAGACACGTGAACTCCAAGGGCCCCCGAGGCCCCACCTGCCCTGCCCCACCCACTCCCCACCCTCCCCTCACAGGCTCTGCTCCAGAGCCTGTGCGGGGACTGTGCTCTCCACCCTGGTGCCCCCTGCTCTCTGGGCCCTTGATCAAACACCAGGCTCCACTGGGCCTCGGGTTCGAAGGTGACATTTTCTAGGGCCTCCTGCCACCTGTCACACTGAGAGCCACGCGGGCTTCTCCCTGTCCCGTCCCACTCCTGCCACAGCAGAGGCCCACGAAGGCAGGTGCTGTGGTCCGGTCTCTCTCGTCCCCATGGCCCCAGGCGGGGCTCCTCACCTAGAGGGAGGGAGGGAGGGAGGGGCCGGGGTGCGTGCCCGCTGTGGGCACCTGCTCGCGGCAGGGGGCTCACCCTTCTGAGACCCCTGGGGCCCCCTGACCTGCCAGGTCCTGCCCCCACTCTGGCCGGGGCTGGCCTTCCTGCCCAGCCCCAAGACCTCCTGCTGCCCTCCAGCACTTCCAGATCTCTCTCTTCCACGGTCCCCGCGGAGTCCTCAGCTCCCCCTCTGGCTGCCCCTCACTCGCTGCCCCTGCCTGCACCTCGTCCACCACCACCACCACACCCCTCCCTTTTCTCACAAAAGCTACACCCGAAGGTCACCCCACAAAACACCCCCCCCCCCCCCGCCCCGGCCCCCAGCACTCCGTGTGACACGCTGGGCCAGTGACGCCACCCACTGGCCTGTTTCCCTACCAGCCAGATAGAGGTGACAGAAGCACCTGCCCCACCCACAAGCTGCCATGTGGCCCTGTGCCCCTAGTCCCACGGCCCCCGTCTCCTCCGGCCCCATCCTCCTCCTCCTGGATGGCAGCCAGGAGTGGGTGCCTCTCCCCTACAGCAGGGCCGTGCCCTGGCTGGGCCACGAGGGCTGGCTACACCCATGTCCTCTGCCCCGGGGGAACAAGAAGCCAGGGTCACGGGCACCTCTCTCAGCCTGCCCACGAGACTCCTCCACAGCCAGCTTGCCCAGGGCAAGTCGCCTGTGCCCGTTTGTGACACTTAGGCTGGCCTGCGGCCCTGGGCACGTGCAGACCCGCAGGACCCCTCCCAGCTGGGGACCAGAGAGACGGAGAGCCAGCCCCAGCAGTGCGTAAACCCACAACCGGTTTAATGACAACGATGCTGCATTTGACAAGAAACAAGGCTCACTCCGCTCCCAGTGCCCGTCCCCGCACTCGAGGCCCGAGCGGTGCACCGGGCACCTCCCTGTCCCAGCTCCCGGGCGGCACAGCCACATGAGCACAGCCGGTTCCCGGGCTCCCGCAGGGCACAAGGCAACAGACAGCGCGACAGAGCCGGGGTTGTTTTCTTAAAAAAAACACTCAAACAAAAATAAGAACTCGACCAATCAAAACACACATCTATGTACACTGTCCCCGGCCCGGCCCCGCAGGGAGGCGGCCCCCCTCCCCGCCCAGTTCAGGCGGGCTCAGCTGGTCGGGAGCCGGGAGCCGTCCCCACTGTAGTGGCTGAGCCACCGCTCCTCTCCCACCATCCCTCAGCTTTCCTGGGACCCATCTACACAAACACAAAGCCAAATCTAAACAAAAGCCACAAGTACGTATATACACATGCACA